TCTTTCGGATTTCATCTTATCTACGGATTTTGGACTTCAAGTTATGTACTTTACTTTTTTGAACTCTTTCAAATGCAATTGGTTTCATTAAATTTCGCTCGAAAAGTTTTTGTTATAATAAGTTTGAACGTCACAACCCCTATACATTTTTAGGAATTTATCTCATCAAAACCGAAAAAAAATGCATTTTTTATAATTCGCCACAAGCATTATCCTCAAATTAGTATCATTTAAACATCTCTACTGGAAATATGCGAAACTCGAGAATCGCCCTGAAGGTACCCAACTTTGGGGGTTGATTTCACCCTCTTAAATCGTTTTCCCGCAGATAAAAAGAAAACATGTGTCGCTTCGATTTTGATGGAGAATATCATATCTCAAACAAACGAAATCGCAGGAGAACACCTAGCAAGATTTCGTTATTACTTCGAACACAGGAATCTAATATACGTTCTAAATTGATATCACCAATGGCAAGACGATTTTTTTCTACCGTAATTATTCGCTGTTTATTATTTTGTCACGGTATTTGTACTCCCGCATTACTAGTAAGATAGAGAAAGGGGCTAAACGCTGTTTAAAGTACATTGTCTGAAAACAAAAAAAAATGTTAAATTTGAAGAATAATTTAACGAAAAAAAATACATCAAGATGGCTCTCATGATAAGTTGATAGATATACAACCAATTGATTATTTTGATATTATTTTGGAAGTGAAGATATTATTAGTCCGATTTTCCTCGTCTATTTAATGATGTACTCCTTATCTTTTTATTCTGAGACACCTTGTATATATGCAGTGGAAGGTTGCAATTCAACTGAAAGACCGTTAGAAAACACGAATGTCATCTCTTGTACCAAAATGCAACCCCCGTTAATGCATCAATGTACCTAAAAGAAATTAAGGCGCTCTCTGTTTATCTATAATTGGTATCTATTTAATTCTCTGTTTCTGCAGGAATAGCCCTTTTCGAAGATAAAATATATACAGTGGGAGGCTGTACCTTAAATAAAACACCACTAACAAAGATGAATGTTTATGATCCAGCTACCGACCAATGGTCAGCTGGTAAAGAAATGAGGATTAAACGTACGGATCTGGGCGTTGCTTTGCTTGATAATGCCATTTATGCTGTACGGGTTTCCACTTATTTCTCATTTAAATATGTTAAAATGTATTGAAATTTAAGAAAATTATAAGCTACATATTGAAATGTTCTACAGATCGGTGGAATGAATCCGAGTGTATTCAATAACTCATGTGACGCATTTGATCCAAAAACACAAAAGTGGAATGGAATAACACCAATGCCCAAAATTTGCACCGGCTTCGCAGTAGCCGTATTGAATGGCTTGTTGTATGTTGTGAGTGCAAGTCATGTTCTATAATTATGTAAATAAAGAGTTAAATTAGAAGAGGTACAAGCGATCATGTGAGGTTGATTTTATATAGGTTGGAGGCTACTGTAGCGAACGGAGATGCCATTTATCCAGCGTACTGTGTTACGATTATGAAACTGGAAAGTGGAATTCTATAAATGATACAAATTTTAATAGGTATAATGCTGGTGCAGGTGTTTTAAATGGGACCCTGTATGTTGTCGGAGGTCAAAACGGGGGAGGTGTTTTAAAAAGTGTTGAAGCTTTTGACCCACAAACTAAGAAGTGGCAACAAGTGAAGGATATGCCTGAGGGTCGCGAACATGTTGGTGAGTAACTCAATATATTTCTTGTGTATAGCGCATGTTTTCTATTGGTATTCTTGAATTCATACAAATGTATATGTTTTACTTATTCGTAGCTGTGGTGGGATTTGGTAAGCACCTCTATGTGGTTGGAGGGAACGATGGTGAAAAGTATTTTACATCGGTTAATGTGTACTGCCCTAAAAGCGATACCTGGGAAGTTCTGTCAAGTTCTATGAGCATTGAACGAGGTTCAACGTCTGTTGCCATCATCAATAAACCTTATAACTACATTTAATTTTTTCTAATCACGGATATATAGGTCGGAAGCGTATAAGTGCATGCGAATACATTACATATATATATTTTTTTAATTATATTATTTTTCTTTTTCTTTTGAAAAAAACGATCGAAAAAAAAGAATGGATAATATACGTTGTCTGAATAAGGGTTTGAAGATATGGTTACTGCAAGACATAAGTATTAAAAGAGGAATATGTATTTTCTACTCATTAGTTTTCCACGAAATATATAGCTTGTGTGCCAAATAATATTTAAACTTTGTGTGTTTGTTACATATGATGATTAAATAGGGATATAACTTTTTTACATTTTTATATTGTATAGCTAATCAGTAATTTGTAGTTCATTTTAAGTTATTAAACGATCAAAATACCTGGAAAGTTTCTTCTGGTTTCTGAAACAAAATTTCACGAATAATATTGTTTATGTTGAAATAAGAGTACACTAGCGACTTGAGCAAATGCAAATCTTATAAACCAACAAATATGTAATTCGCTAACAAATTGGAAAGAATACAAAATAAAAGTTGATGAGTATTACATATTGAAAAAAAGTTAGAATAACGAATGATACAGCTAATCACAACCATACTTTTTGAATAATGCTATATATCGAAGCCACAAATTTAAGACATGTCTGCAATATCTACCATGTCTACCACGTTTACATGTTTTGCTCTTTATATGTGATAACGACTTTTGGTTTAAACTGCAACATTGTGTGTTAAATTAATGTGGCACATCTACATTCCCACTTTGCAATAATTTTCCAAAAAGAATTTAACTGTTTCAAAAGTGATTTTACGTATCTATTAGTATTTTTACGTGAGTTGAAAGCACGTAATCGTTGTATAATATATTATTGTCAGAGTTCTTTTTATAACAAAGAATAAGTTCAGAACCTTAATGTCGTGCGTGAATCTAATTGACATACTATTTTCACGGTTGCCATACTATTAATAAAAATGAGTCACGTAACAAAATAACTTCTTAATTAGGTATACAAGGTATTTTCGTTATCAGGAATTATATAATCACATTATCGTTAATAATAATTATTAATTAATCATATAGTCCATATTAGACGTGGCTGACAGGGGATATGATAAATCTAATTTTGATTTTATTAATATTTGTACAATCAAAATATCATATATATACGATAACAATAACAATCTCAAGATTCACAAGATCCTCCCAAGTAGATTTTCAACAGTTCCTTCTTTTATGATGACAATTTAGATCAGTAGGTAAGGGCGATCTGGATTACTGTAGATCACTTAGTAGCTTTGATCCAGTCAATTTCCAACGCTGCCACTCCTGGTTGATTTTCTGGCAGATACGGTCCATTGTCGATCTTGATGCCGATGTTAGTAATGGTTGATGTGTCTAAGGGATGAGATTGAAGAGACAACTCTTGACCTCTGTGGTAAGGTTTGAATTCGGCCAGTGGTAGTTTTACGGGTGCGAGTTCACCCTCTGGCGCCTTGAAGAAATAGAAATCATCCGGATGGGATGCGTAGGCAGTTTTTGAATTGGTTTCTGACAAGAAGGACAAGTTTCTACGTTTGATTTTAAGGGAAAGAGAGAGAAAAAAAATTACCGTGAAGATTTGTCCGTAGACTGCCGAATCCTTTCCCAGACCCTTGTGCCTTAATAGCATTTTGTATTTAACATTCATTCCCTGTCCACGACATTTAAGTATTATGTTGTTGAAATCGCTGAGGTTGAAGGTCGTCTCGCAACGTACTGCAGCAAATCCAGAGCCATTCGGTTGCGGATTGAACAGAGTGAACAGTATAGCCCGTTGGAAAACTTGAGTCTTCTGCAGGACTAGAATGGCCTTCGACATGCCCGTACTTTTGATTGTGTCGGAATTTTCGGTCCAATTTGTGAGCTGATCTGAACGCGTAAAGTCGAAGAGTGTTTGCACAGTTCTAAAGAAAAGGTAAAAAAGAAATTGTTTCATATTTCTTGTTTGCTCATATAGTATAGATTTGTAAATATGGACCAGATGGTTAGCTAAATGATTTGAAACCGCAGAATCTAGTAATATTATTTGCTATGGAATAGTATAAACGTTTTTTTTCAATAGATATTTTGATTATTTTCCTAAATTCGATATACTTGAATCTTTGGTAACTGACTTTATTAGATCAAATTATTGAAATTAACTATTATTATAGAAATAGTGAATGTGAATCTTAATAAGATAAATTATCAAAAATAAAAACGTATGGATAATCACAAGCATGAAAATAATGGTAAAAGTTGCAAAAAAAAAGTTTGAAACATAAAAATGAATTTAAAAAGAATAGTATCTGTCAACTTTACCCGGAGGCAGTCGCTACCATGTCATCCTCCTCTTCCTCAAGAAAGTTACAGTTAAACTGAGCTCATCCGACTTGTGACATCTTGAAATCGATGACTACGCTATATTCTCATCGTGTTTATATCTACACAATCTGCGATTCAGTGATGTCGCCAGTCTCAACCAGGAATCAAACTTCTTGCGTGTCTCGTGGTCGTTTACTTCCTTTCTCGCGGTTCTTAAAAACAAGATTACCTTTACCTTTCTGTTTTCTTTTTTATTATTAACACCACAATATTAATGATGGGTTAGTCATTTCAAATGAGAGTGGTTCCTTTTTACTTTTTTTTTTACTTTGCTTGTTTTTTAATTTAGAATAAATTTCTAATGTTTGAATCTATTACGTAAACCACTTTCAACTTACGAAGCGCTAGTCTTTCTGCGTATACAATATTATCAGCATCAATACTGAGACTGATCGGGGCTCAGAAATGTTTGATCAATTTCCTACGGGAATATGTATTATGTACCTGTAACTGTATATACGAATATTAGCAAATGACAGGAAATGTTTATATATAGAAACAGAACGGATCCGGTTATGACGCGGCATTTATTGAACGACCTGTAAAACTTTTTTCAATAGCAACTTTCGTGACGGCACGTAGCCAAACAACGAGGGTCGTTTTACTTAGCACTAAGAATAGATAGACGATGCATTTGGTAGACAATCAGATATGTTCGTGATATTGTAGTCAAATCTAATAATGTCCTCAATTTTCAGCGACGGACTGATTGGCTAGTTTGATCAGGATTATAAACTTTTATAGGATCAGCTATTAGTTTATTATATCCACAGTTCTATAAAATTTCGCTTCTATTAATTCGTGATTATGTTAGTGAATTACCTCTGCATTTGAAGGTCATACAATACTCATAATGCGCTCTCTAATATTTATTCATAAAAAAAAGTAATTTTTCAAAATATTACTAATTATTATTAGTGTGATTACATTTTAGAAGAATTCAATATTTTCAAGATCCATGGGTCAAATCATTAAAATAACTGTCTTGAATTGATGAACACTAAATAATTAACCCAAACAACACGAAGATGGAAACTATACTCTTATCGTAACGTTCATATGTATACTATGTAGAAGCATAGAAGTATGTTCCAAATGGTTTACTTCCTAAATTTTTAACTATAGCGTATGAAATGCTTCCTATTAGGCATTGATAAAAATGACAATCAAGAAGTATACATTATATACGATATTTTTGTTATCTAGGCGTAGAAGTTTTCAATGTTATCGTTATTATAGACAAAGAAAGCTGAGCTCTCCATTAAGTAAGTTAGGACTAGCTCAGTATTACCTGCCAACAACAAGTATTGCGCACGTATGTAGGTTCCATAATGCAATATTTTTGTGAACAGTTAAAAGTTATCTACAATTATTCGATTTGTAAGGCGCTACGCAGTGAGCGAAATTTTCGTTCCTCGGAAGAGGTTCCAATAGCAAGTCATTTTCGCACTAGAAAAAGAAACCCGCTGTTAGTATACAATTGATTTCTGATATTTGTCGACATGTATGTTCCTAATTTTAGTGAGGCTACCTTTCGCTATCATTTAGATACATTTGTTAATTCTATAATATTTTTTATCATATTTTTAAGCTATCGACCGAAATAGCAGCATCCAGTCTGCGCCAAGCGTTCTTGTGGGATGGACGAATTACTCGGTATTTTTTGTTTTGTTCGCTCGACTGATTCTTGTTCCTTGTAATCGTGCCATTGTATGTGAGGTGTTAGTGCGTTAGATGCGATATAGCGGGGAAAAAAACAGAGAACAGCGGTTGGTTTAACTTTTAAGAAATACGACAACTTGAGCCGCCGGTAAAAGCTGCGTTGATAAAATCAGTCGTGATCAAACCACCCGCGCTTGTTGCAAACCGTTGCTTCTCAAGAAGTCAGTAACAGCGTGCATCGCAGTATTGCTGAAACTCAAAATGCCAGACGTGACGAAGTTTAGCATGTTCAAGAAGTTACAGATATCAAGGTTGAATGCGCTGGCGGCAGTGAATCACAGAACAATGCATCAGGGGGCACCGAACCAGATGTCGAAGAAGACGAAACGTCGACAAAAGAGAGTGATGCTCAGTTTCGCACAGACCCAATTCAATACAAATGTCAATTTTTGCCTCCCGAGCGATCTTCCATCAGTTGTTCATTGATATTGTGACGGATTGTGATGATATTGTGATCTTTATCTGACGGAACCTTTTCAAACATTTAATGCTCTGTTCAGACGATATATTCACCCCCCAAAAAACACTTACATGTAAAAATCTACGCCAAGTACAGGAATGCTGTAAATTCCTCTAACAAAAAGTATTGAAATCATATTATTAATGCCAAGTACATAAGTCACTACATATTTGCCTATTATATGATCTAGCACTGGCCCATTATTTTAATTCTATTTTCAAAATTTCCTATAATTATGTACTTGTCATTAATAATATCAATTCAACACTTTTTGTTAGAGCGCAGCACTTCTGTACTCGGTATGTTTTTTACACGTAAGTGTTTTTTGCAAGGGTTCAGTATTACTGGCGATAACAATGTGTGATTCTGAAAATCAACATTAGCAGGAAAGTGCTTGATGCTAAAGATTCAATAATGCTTTCTCCTTTTTTTATCACTGAATTAGCAATAAGTACATGTACAAGTATTTCGTAACTTCATTAATAAAAAAATACTTTGGTACAATAATACACATTAGATCGGTAATAAAAACGCAAGTATTACAGTAACATATGTTTTGTATTGTTTACATATATTAAAATAATGTTTAATAATTTATTACTCAACTTCGCTGCATCATTCAGTGCCACGCCAATCTTCTTTGAAGATAAATTATCAATAATGGGAAGGTATGCATAGTCACGAGGACGAAAATGATGGTAAACATTGCAAGAAAAAGTGTAAAACGTGAGATACAATTTTAAAAAAGGACAATAATTGTCAACTTTACCCGCAGGCATTGGCCACCATGTCGTCCTCCTCTTCCTTCAGAAAATTAAAGTTAAACTGACCTCATCCGACTTTTGACATCTTGAAAACGTCAACTACGCTATACTCTTATTGCGTCTATACCTACATAATCTGCGATTCAGTGTTGTAGCCAGTCCTAACGAGGAATCAAAACTCTCGTGTGTTTCGTGCTCGTTTAAGTTCTTTTCCGCGGTTCTTAAAAACAGTATTACCAACAAAATGTTACCTTTCAATTTATTTTTTACTTTTAACCCAAAATATAATTAACAAATCTGCTCATTCTGTCAGAGCAATTGTGATTGCTCATGATATGCATATATTTAATATTATATTTAGATTTAATAGAGGGTAAGTAATTATATGTATAGAATATTATCGATGTTGATATTAAGTGTAATCGGGCTTCGGAAATATTTGATCAATTTCCTACGGGAATAATATACATATGATGTATCTGTAACTGTGTACATATACGAATCTTAGCAAATTGCAGGGAAATGGTTATACGTATATTGAAACTGAACGTATCCGGTTACAACGCGGCATTTATTAAACGACCTTTACATTTTTGCTTAGCAATGACTTTCGTGACGGCACATATATAGCGAAACAATGATAGTCGCTTTACTTAGTACTAAGAATAGTGAAATCGTAATCAAATCTAAAAATGTTCTCAACTGCCAACCGCAGAGACTGATTAAGTACTTTGATCAGGATTATAAACTTTCACAAGATGAACCATTAATTTATTGTTATGTGGTTCTATGAAGTTTTGTTTCTCTATATACATGTTTTTGTACCGAATTTTATGCTCGTGAAATATTGGATAGAGCGTTCTTCACCCAGAACTATAGTGTACCAATACAAGGATGAAATTCGAGGTATTTCAGTTAAGGTATTACTACGGTAAACTCAAAACCGCGTAATCGAGCTAAAATTTGTTTTACGTCTAATTTGTATAGCAGTACATCTCTCTACAAATTTTTAAAACGATTCACTCATCAGTTTCCGAGTATTTCCGAGTTAATGTCAGGACTCGTAACACGTATTCCCTGGCTAATAAAACGCGCATGGTTTTTTTTATTGCATTTGACTTTACTCGAGTCAATTCCTTATATACCTGTGTTTGGAACGAAATATCTTATGAACCGCTATATATGAGGAAAAGTTATTGATACATTCACTATAGGAATTGAAGGTTCTGAAGCGATTGCCACCAAGTTCAATACGATTAGTGTACGAGATCAGGGCGTATTGAAATGGCGAGCGAGATGATTTTATTTCAGTTCCGTCGCCGTGGTCGTCGTCGTCGTCGTCGTCGTCGTCGTCGTAGTCTTCGCACGTCCGTCGCATTTTTTACACGACAGATGGCGCTGACTGCTTTGCCTTCTTTACCTATTTGTACTCTGGA